AATTACTAAAATGTCCTTTCAGTAGAGGAACTGTGACGTGCTCCTGCAACACTACAAATTCCCTTATAGACATAAGCACAAAAAAACTGTTCCTATTATCCTACAGTCACATTTGTAGATAGTTTAACAACAGTCTAAGAGCAGGGAGCGAGAAAAAAATAACTACATAATCAAGCTGTGTTAAAGATGGAGTCAAGAGGTTAAACCTTACACTGTCCTTCTCTTCCAAGAGCTATTTGAGAGAAAAAAAAAAAAACAATGTTGGTGTATTACTCAACGTTAACAAGATTTGTCCCAATTTAACAGGTTCAGTTTTGGTTTCAGAGGAAACCAAACTATTTGAATACAAAAGTACCCTGATAAAAGCTGGAAGTACATGCAGGCCTACATCTAATAACTCTGCTATAGTAGACTCTGGATTTTAAAGCCTGGAAAAAATATAAAAGACAGGGCTTTACATTTCACAGTAATTTCTTCACCAAACCCAAGAAATGGGGCTTGACATTCTAAGTGAAAACTGAGTATAAGATACTCATCTTTATATATTTTTCTCTGTTAYAAATGTTATATCCTAATATATGTATGGTTTGCTCATCCATTAAGGTAAGACCACCRTGAAACATTTAAACAATAAACATTATACCATGGTTCTGTTATACACTTTGTAAAAGCAGGCATTTAACACACAATCACATCCCGATCTGCCATCTTTTGCTGAGAGGCAAGAAGTTTTGGTATCTAGAACTACAGGTGTTACAAATGGATGAGGAGTCATCTGCCTTAGTTCTGCTGCTGCTGCARGAGCCCTTACATGAGAACAGCTTTCTGACTTTGCTTTCTGTTTCAGCACTGTGGTGATCAGCTTTATCAACAGCTCTGGGGCTTCCCACCTAACAATGGGTTAAATGAAATGCTCTTAAGGAATGGGTGAAATCTCTCTTGGTACCAATYGTCTAAAACTGTAGCATGGATCGAATTTTTGTTTTTAAACTGATGGATACAGTGTTTCATGGGAGAATGAAGCACTTTAGAATAATTAATTAGAAGTCTAGCAGTTACAAAAGTGTTAATTATCTACCTGCATCTGAAATGAATCCTCACCACAGCAAAGTTCTTGCCTAAATAATAATTCTGAAGGGGTAACAAGCAAAGAGAATAGCTCAGCTGTACATCCTCATCTTTTAACCCATTCATCCCATGAAAATTCTCATTACAAAAAGCAGTGACTGTGGTGCAAGTGAACTTGCAGGAGGCAAATTCATGTTTCCTTACCATCAACACAGGGCCCAAAATAAAGTGGTAATATTGGTGGCTGCCCTGCTCAATTATTCAGTTTATGTATGGCCTGAACTGCTGCACCCCACCTGGGATGCTGTATGAAACCTTCCAGCAGTGAAGGGTTTGTATGAGCTGGGCTGCATTGTGTAGKACCAACAAACTGCCCACTTAGGCACTTTGCAGGCCAGACCTTCAGCTTGCCTGATTTAACACTGATCTGCTGCCTGCCTGAATATAAATATTCACAATGGAGGAATTTGCTATCTCCTCCCCACTTAMGTGTACTTAAATTTGTTCCTGGAAAGCAAAATAAAACATTGTTTCTCAGCAGAACAAAATCAACAGAAAAGTACACTTACATCACTTGAAATAGTGATGGTTTTATAATTTTATGTTCATAYAAAAAAGGCTTAATTGTAGAAAGTCAATTTATTGTTGAAATAAACGACTTATTTACAGAGATAGGTACTTTACAGTTTTACAAAGCAGGCAAAGTTCTTCTCAGAATAAGGTACCAAAACAGTGACAAGTTCATCCCTGTCTAAATGAAGTTTATTCCAAAAAGAAATCTACAGCAATCATGAAACTAAATCATACCRATCACATAATAAAACGCTGTCCCTTGCAACTACAACAGTATAAAAGACTTCTTATCAGTCATGATCTAGATTAAGCATCTGCTATACTTCTTTCTTCTTGAGTATTAGTGGACCTACATTATCTCCTGTTAATTCATTGTGCTTGTTGTGGGAACCATCACAGACAGGGAACTGAAAGAAAACATACACGAGAATTAACATAACTCTGTACAGCAATTGGATGGTGATTTCTGTATTTTTTCCTATGCCCAGAACACTTTGGTAATGTTGCTATTTCCTCCTATGATGTCCTGGTTCAACGTCAAACTCCCTGCCTGCTATCAGACACAGGACACTAAGGAAAGCAAACACTGTTAATGGGTAACTAATTTTGTGAGATCCTAAAATAGCTGTTCTTAGACACAAAGTCAGGGACAAAGCCTTTTTCATGAAAGAACAGCAAACAAAGCAGCATCAAAGCTACAAATGGATTAAGATTTAYTGTGGAACTAACAAGAGTGCTCTTACTAGATTTAGTCATTTGCAGCCAGAAAGTTCAAGAAAAGCTGAAATGCTTGGCTGAAGTGATTAGTCCAAAGTGAGAATAGTTGAGTGAGCTTCTTCAGCTCAGAGCAGACTTTTTAAATAAAAGAAAGCATTCCAGTACAGAGAGAACAAAATCAGAGTGTTGTTAGGACATTCAACATTCAATCWGGAAATTAAAATTGTGGCTAGATGAAATATACTCATTTATATCTAGTTGATTTGGGGACTGTCCAAATCAGTCATCTCAGTGCTCTGGACCAAATGGGAATCTCCCTCACCAATACAGGCCCAGCCTTATCTTCATTTTAATATGAACAACTTTCTAAGCATTGTTTTTTGMAAACTAAGAGTAGTTATCTTTTAATTAGTTACAAGGTATTACCAAATATTAAAACAGGTTTGCTAGGTTTTATTCTGCGCACATGTGGTCTCTCTCTAACATTTCTAGAAAAATCCTACTGTATTTYTTTCAAGTTTCTGCAGTTGCTTTCTGCATGTAGACAGGTCTGTGCCATTCTATAAAAYTCAGCAACATGTTCCACCTCCAAAGGCAACAGTTCAACACAGAGGAATCCACCACCAAAWCCCTGATAAATAGATGCAAGTTTCSATCTCTAACCCTACAGCAGCAGTGTCTTACCGTCTTTGAACGCCAACATCTGCAGTAGGCTTTAGTGAGGCACAAATCTTCAATGTTTATCTCGTTCACTACTTTTGGATTTTCCTTCTGGATCTTGAGGTTRATCAAGCTATCCTTCTGCTGTTTCTTCTTGGGGAGGAAGGGACGAACAGCCAGGTAACCGAGCAAGGCCAGCACACCCAGGAAAGGCAGTAACCGCAGCCATTCTGAAACTAAAGATAACATGAGGTTTAGGGTGGCTCTTGACACCACTCCAGGATGGTGCAGCACCAGCTACTTCCAAATGGCTGAGGATGAGGATATGGAATGGAGCTGTTCAGTCAGCAGGGCCCTCAGGGCAAACAAGATTCCATTGGTGAGTCTCCAAAAAAAGAGATTAAGTTCTGGGGTTTACTGTAGCGAAAGTAAAAATCTGACTCCTTGAATTTAATCTGAAATTTAATTTTATCACTCTAGAAGATGATTCAGTGGAAGACAATAAATGGAAAACAAACAAAAGATTTACTGAAWTGGGGAACTCTAAAATTACAGGGGTTCTGCTCACTTGGTGTAAGCCACCACTTACACTAATAAACTGGGCATGATTAAATGCAGTAAGTATATTCCTTGAGGGTATCTYAATATTCTGTAGAGGGAACTGTTAAATATGTTTTATAATTCAATTTCTGATTCCTTATTTCATATTTTTATCCTCTTGAAGTTTTTATCATTTTACTTGTTCCAAGTTTTTTTAGACACTTTTGCTAAAAATGGTACAGATTATTAGATAATGACTGGCAAAACCTTCACCAATCTTTTTGGGGATTTTTTTCAGACCTCTGTTTGYTCAGGCATTTGCAACCAGTTTCTACAACATAGAGAAAGAAAGAGACTTAAAATCAGTAGGTCAAGTCACAGAAAAYTGCTTTTTACCAAGGTAAGGAACTTCTTTCAAGTAAAGGTAAAAGGTAACAGTATCTACTACAGATCTGGCTGCCCTGCTACATCATTATAAATCTCCTAGGTGTAGTTATGAGAGAAGACTTACTGGACTTTTAAAGAAATGCATCAATAATTGGCATTAGATAGATAGATAGATAGATAGACAGACAGAAGATCTATATATATAAGGTGGATCCACTTTTCCAGCAAAACATGCTGTGACAATACTCCAGTGCAATTTAAATACCGTGGTGCAACAAAGGTTGAGAGCATTTTTCTAAATTTCTGGAGAACATATTAAATCTAAACACTCATACAGAAGGGAGTTTAAAAATATTTTAGATGAGAAAGAAAAAAGTATAATGAGCTGAAGCACAAACAGCCGCACAAGCACTTTTTAAGACAAGACACTGTAATCAAGTTACTCTTCTAAATTATTTAGGATCAAATCATTGCAAGATTTTGTTCTACGTTAGTTTTTTGAAATTAAGATGTACAAGAAAGAAAATGTAATAGAGCAGGCTAAGGATGCCAGGTGGGTTATAGCCCTCCGAAAATACATTGTGTATAGCTTGATTTGATTGTACTAATTGAACACACATTTATGCTAACACTCTTCCAATTAGAATCTAGTGGATTTTTCTTAAGGATTTCAATTTTCTGGAACCAGATCATGTAATGAAGATAAATTGTGAGGCTAATTTTCTTGGTTTTTGTTGCCTTTGATGTGACAGCCACATTTAGTGCATTYATCTGGAAATGCATCACAGCTGCACAAAAGCCAAAGGCACTGCCAGAAGTCTCAGGAGTCATTTCCCACCTGCACTTGCAGTGTTCCCTACACACAACAATTCACTGAGAGTCACTGCAATACATTAAKCTCTGGTGCTCTTTTCTTATTTCCTCCAACAAGCTGCAAGCCCTAAATAATAATTAACACTGAGCTACTGAAACGTTTTCAGCTACACAGAATCCTGAGCTTCCTGGACTGCAGTGTCTATCATTACTTTTCCGGAACACTCCATCAACACAAATCCAAATGCACATTCTGACCTTACCTGAAGGACTGACTTGGAATGTACTTCAAAAGAGAGGAAAAATACTTGGTCGCTGAAAAAAAAAATCCGAACTTTGCATTTAACCTGACTGTTGGCAAAAATGTGGATCTCTACAAAGCTACTCCTCTGAAGTCCAGGATAGAACAGACATTTCAAGTGGCACACCAGGACTAGRGCACCTATCAAGTGTGTGATGAATGTTAAGTGGGCTAAGATTGACACACAAAAAGGACACATCTCACACTCTGATAAAGCATCAAAATCAAGACAGTAGTCATGTCTATGGAAGACTCACAACCAGTTGGGTTCATTCGAGTGAAACAGGAACATGAGCACTCTAACCTCTGAGAAAGGAAATTAGAAATAAACGTGAATAGGATGTACAAGGCTATTATTCAGAATGATTGTTATTTAAYATTTGTACCAAGCTAGCTGCTGATAAATAATTTTGTCCTCACTAGCCAGTAAATTCTGTGCTTATTTCTATCTGGGAGTCTCTGGAAAGCCCCYGATTACACCTATGTGTACACTAATCATAAACTGTCTTGTTACTGCCAAAAGACTGCCTGAAGCTCCTGTGCTTAAACTGGAAAATCAAGGTGACCATGTCCTAAAGCACAAGATACAAGACACTGTCAGAGATCTTTAGGCTTGTGAGCAGGGATGGGAAAAACCCTTCACCCAAACTAACGCAATTACATCTTCCTACAAGTGTAGACTGCTCTGTTTTTTAAGCCAKTCATACCTTTCTGAAGCAGATGTAAGGCAATTCACAACACTGTTTATTTTCACAGCTGACAACTCAGAACTCAGCCATTATATCGATTTTGGAGATTCTTTAWCAGTTCTGCTGTACAGGGAGAGGCAGACTTTGGAGCCAGAAATAAAGAGCAGTGTACCGAACAGGTTAGTCTTCAAACTTGATTTGTGTTAGATAGCGACCAATCCCAAAGATAAGTCCTGGCAAGCATCAAAAGCCAGAGAATTCCAAGAAGCTGAGGCCAGGCACATTTTCAAGGAGAGATTGTCTTAATTTTAGTCCAACAGTAACGCATCCAAAAACAAAACAAACACACTGTGAGCAAAGGGACAGGCCAGCCACTGAGAGTAAAATCAAAGTAGGTGTTCCCTGCTTGTCTTCCATCAACTACACCTTTGATATCTTTGACTTATGTTTCAGCTAATTTTTGTGGAAACAACCCTATGCAGACTCAAAAGCACCTTTTTACAGTAACAGCTCAACTGCAAACAAAAATTTAAACAAGTACTACCTACCAGTCAAAAGGAATTTTTGAACTGTGTTTGTATATTCTCTAAACTGATGACATTCTTCATGCAAATTCAGATGACTTACTAATTACATTCTTTTCAGAACTAGTAAGCAGATGTATCCTGACTGTTTTTAGTTGTTTGCTGTTTTGAGGTGAATGTCTAGGCCATTTTAATGACATCTTCCACAACAAAAAGCAATACTGGCCTAAGACATCACTGTTCACTTCACCGAACTTAAGAATGGAAGGCTAAAGCAGCTATGACAAGACACTGAAAGAGGCTTCTGAGCAGCACAGTGTGATAATTCAGATATCCACTTTCAAACCCAAGGTCAAACATTCTTTCCTTCCTCCCTCACTGCTTTTACCTTCAAGAATTATGCGGTGGATGTTAACAGACTTTCTCTTCAAACAAGCAGTTTTTCATTCTGGTTTGGTAAGGTCACAACACACAACAGGTGCCCAGATCTTTAATCAGCACACTAGATAACATCCTATAAAAAAACAAGGTGCTCCATGTACTTTTGGTCTGTTGTTTCTTCAACTGATGCACTACAGGAACGGAAGCTGCATCTGCCTGCAAGCTAATGAGAGTTTACAGAAGCAATAAGAGTTAAGAAAAGACTGCACTCTGGCCTGCCTTTGCAAACAAGGTCTATGCTAGCAAGTGTTTCATAGTGCTGGTACCTGATTAAACTCAATAGATGCCACCAAAGGGCAAATATTAATGCTTTAAATGTTTTTAGACCAATGTTACTTCTCACTTTCCAAAAAGAAGCAAAGCATGCCATTTGCCAAAGAACATACTCTGTAATTTCTAACAGTAGCAAACACAAAAGGGAACATTAATACAATCTTCTCTACTATGTAATAGTCTTTCCTGAATGATAATTCACTGCAAAATAACCCCACGACTGGGAATCCCMTGCTCTTAGAGGATTATAATGTTAGGACAGGACAAAGACCACAACAACGCAGAAGAGGAAGCACTTGCTGAAGCAATCATTTTCTCAGATGAAACTTAAGACTGACAGCAGCTCTGCATGCATGTAAGCACGTGACTCTTCAATGAGCAGTGACGTTTCAGTGACTTTCAATAACCTTTAAGCACTAAGAGATGATAATTTTTTAATTTAGATGCCTAGGATGCTGTGTCCTACAATATCCTTCTCAAAAGTCTCAGTGTTGCATTTACCCTGTGCCACAACTTGAAGCATCTTGTACTGTTTTGCTTTTTTTCCTCCATTTTCATTCATATCCACCCTGAGGAAGATGTATAAGCATGGGAGCAGATACTATACTCGCTTTCTACAGGAAAAAAACTACAAACTGTAAAAATGTTGTCTCTATAGTCATGTATTTTTAAATATACTTTTGTTTCCCATTTTTGAAGTCCAGTCAAAAAAAATCACGAATAAGGCAGTGGATTTTTCAGCGATGCTCATTAAATCCTACCAGTTCTCAAAGTACTTTCTGACTCAGCTTCTTCCTTTACTTTTGTTTAATATGTTTGGGACTGACATTTCATGTGTTTGGTCTCCACTTAAAGATATCAGTTGTTTGCTTCTTGCCCTCCSTCCAAATTCAAGAAGTGCCTGTTAATTGGGTAAATAATGTGACAAYGAAACAGTTCTCCCCTACTGATCACACTATGAAAAAACCCAAAGTCCTGATTTTGTTGCACAGACTGTTTTTCCAGAGGTTTTCAGAATAAATTGTATTACTACTACACATTGTAAATACAGAGACTGCACAAATAATCCTGTTACAGAAAGATGTTTAGGCAAATAAAGCAGTAAGATACTGAAATATTATAAAGCTTAACAAATTTTAAATCAACTTGTGTTTTCCAGTCTAATGACTTAAGTAAGAATACTGCCAAATACTAGGAATAGGAGAAGCTGCATTTTTCTGCATTTTGTTTTATTCCCTGCCTCCCAACTTTGTAGCAAATGAATTTCTTTATTTGGTAAATATAATTAACAGCTTTTCATATGACAGAGTAGTTGTGAAAGAAGAACGGTTATTTCAAAAGAGATTTCCTTGTCCTGAGAAAAATAACASGACTTGCAGTTTACAAGCACCATAAATATGCTGGAAAGAAAGAAGTACTCAAGCCCTGCTTTAAATAAACTGTGCCTGTTCTAAATTTAACAATTTTCCAACACTATTACGTGGCTGCAAGATACAAGGTTGATTGTGCACTTTGAAGACTTTTTCTACTTCCAGTGAGTTTCTGCTGAGAGTATTCTTTCTTTCTTATCACCGAATTACTCCTGTCACTTGACACTGCTTGAGGACCCGCCTGTGCTATCACAGCGGTGCCTGGGCACCCAGAGCTTCAGTGTGAGCACCCACAGAATTCGCCACTGTTCACTTTTCTATCTTGTTCACTCAGTCTACAATCAATGAACAGGTATTTTCACTCCCTAACCCAGAGAATACTCACAAAAGTAATTAATTTTTAAAAATACCCTATCTTCATGTATGTAGCACGTTTCCCGAAGTAGATTTTGATGTTTTAACTCAATATAGATGCTGTCTTTAACCTGTGAAGAAGAGGAAGAAGCAGTGCTTTAGGCCTGCGGCTGAATCCCATCCACGTCCGCGCACGGCCTCTGGCTCGCCGCCGTTAGCTCCCACAGGAATTTCAGGCGCGAACGAGTTACTCTGTCCCTGCACCTCATCCTGACAGCTCCCCCTGCCCCACAGGGCACCTACAGCTCCTGTTGGATCAGGAGTTCAAGGTTTGGGGTTCCCCGTTCTGTGACATGGCCGGGGCACAGCGAGCGCTGCCTGGAGCGAAGGTTGGGAGCCGGACCGCCGGGGCGGGAAGGGGGGTCCCGGCGCCCAGGCCTACCTGTGAGGCGGATGAAGCCGCCGACGCTCTCGGGCAGCGGCAGGCGCTTGAGGTAGGCGGGCAGCTGCACCTTGACGATGCGGGCCAGGGTCTCCAGCACCATGGCCGGGCCCCCGCGCGCCGACCCGGGCTGCTCCCGCCGC